TCTCTCTCTCTCCTGCTCTCTATCACTCTTTCAAATAAATCTAAAAAAAAAAAAAAAGTGCACCCTGTGTGGAAATAGGTGAAGGCCCAGGTACTTGGGTCCCTGCCACCCACATGGGAGACTTGGACTGAGTTTTGAGTTCCGGGCTCCTTGCTTCAGTTTGGCCCAGCCGTGGCCATTGTAGACATTTGTGGAGTGAACCAGTATGTGGAAGATCTCTGTCTGCCTCTCTGCCTTTCAAAATTCTTAAATAATTAATTAATTACAAATCCTTGAAAAAAATGTTGAGATACATGCATGTAAGAGGTCGTTAATTTCATGGGAGGTGCATATTATGAAAAGACTGTGCATGGATTTCCAAACTTTCTTGTGCCAAAATAAACTTATCTTAATTCCGTTTCCCACAAACTGCGACGACGTCTGGTATAGATTTAAATATCTTATTATAGTGTGCACTTAAATATATAGTGATGCATCACTTGATGGCAGCATATTCTGAGGCATGTGTCATCAGGTGAGATTTTTGTTGTGGGAGCAGACAGCTAGAGATAGACAGCTCCCCAAATGCCTGCAGAGGCTGGGAATGAGCCAGGGAAAAGCTGGGAGCAAGGAACTCAATCCAGGTTTCCCACCTGGGTGGAAGGCACCCAACTACTTGAGCCATCACTGCTGCCTCCCAGGGTCTGCGTTAACAGGAAGCTGGGATCAGAAGCAGAGCTGGGCTGGCGCCACGGCTCAATAGGCTAATCCTCCACCTTGCGGCGCCAGCACATCGGGTTCTAGTCCTGGTCGGGGTGCCGGATTCTGTCCCGGTTGCCCCTCTTCCAGGCCAGCTCTCTGCTGTGGCCTGGGAGTGCAGTGGAGGATGGCCCAAGTGCTTGGGCCCTGCACCCCATGGGAGACCAGGAGAAGCACCTGGCTCCTGCCATCGGATTAGCGTAGTGCGCAGCCGCAGCGGCCATTGTGGGGTGAACCAACAGAAAAGGAAGACCTTTCTCTCTGTCTCTCTCTCTCACTGTCCACTCTGCCTGTCAAAAAAAAAAAAAAAAAGGTAGAGCTGAGACTCAAACCCAGCTACTCTGATGTGGGGTGTGGGATGTGGGTGTCTTACCTGGCACACCAGCCCAAGCTCCTCTCCTAAAACATTTTTAAACTGGTTTTTAAAATTGTTTAATTTTTTTTTTTTTTTTTTTTGGAAACGTAAACACACACATCGGCCTAGGCTGCACGGGGTCAGGGCATCACTGTCACTGCCTTGCACCTCCACATCCTGTCCCATTGGAGGTCCTTGGTGACCGTGCACATATGGAGCTGTCACCTCCTGTGACAGCAATGCCGCCTTCTTCTTCTTCTTTTTTTTTTTTTAATTTATTTGAAAGGCAGAGTTCCAGAGAGAGGTAGAGACAGAGACAGAAACAGAGAGAGAGAGAGAGGTCTTCCATCCACTGGTTCACTCTCCAAATGACCACAACAGCTGGAGCTGAGCTGAACCAAAGCCAAGAGCTTCTTCCACATCTCCCACGTACATGCAGGGTCTCAAGCACTTGGGCCATCTTCTGCTGCTCTCCTAGGTGCATTAGCAGCGAGCTGGATCAGAAGTGGAGCAGCCGGGCCTTGAACTGGTGCCCAAATGGGATGCTGGTGCTGCAGGCAGGGCTTTAACCCACTGTGCCACAGTGCCGGCCCCAGCACTGCCTTCTTGACACTTCCTGAAGGACCTGCCTGAGGCTGGTGTCCAGTTAACTTGTTTTTATATGTAGGAATACACTCTAATGCTAAAATGTGTAGTGTAGGAAATGCATAAATGTAACATGGTTGCTTATTATATCAAATAATATGTCTTAGATATAACTGTACTGTGTTGCCACTCATTTATATATATAGATGCATATGTAGAGTGTTTTCGTTTTCTGGGGCATCACTATAAGCACATCAGTAATGCATTGTGCTATGATGTTACCATGGCTACATTATCACTAGGCAATAGAAATTTATCAGCTCCATTATAATCTTAAGGGACCACCATTATATATGTGGTCTGTTGTTGGCCAAAATGTCAACAGGCAGCAACGGACTGTATGGATTTCTTACTGGTTCTGGCTTTCTGAGAACCCAGGGTGATAAAACAAAATAACAATGTTTAATTCCACTACAAAAATTCACTTTTGCCTGCAACACCAGCATCCCATATGGGGGCCAGTTCGAGTCCTGGCTGTTCCACAATTTTTTTTAAAGATTTATTTATTTGAATGGCAGAATTAGAGAGAGGCAGAGGCAGACAGAGTGGTCTTCCATCGGCTGGTTCCCAAATGGCCACAACTGCTGGAGCTGGGCCAATCCAAAGCCAGGAGCCAGGAGCTTCTTCTGGTTCTCCCACCTGGGTGTAGGGGCCCGAGCACTTATGCCATCTTCTGCTGCTTTCCCAGGGGCATTAGCAGGGAGCTGGATTGGAAGTGGAGCAGCCAGGACTGGAACTGGTGCCCACTGGGATGCCAGTGCTGCAGATGGTGGCTTTACCCACTATGCCACAATGTGGGCCCCTGCTTCTCCACCTTTAAAATAACTTTTGGTAAAAGAGATTAAAAAAAAAAGAGATTTTCTTTTTTTTTTTCTTTTTTTTTTTTTTGACAGGCAGAGTGGACAGTGAGAGAGAGAGACAGAGAGAAAGGTCTTCCTTTGCCGTTGGTTCACCCTCCAATGGCCGCCGCGGCCGGCACGCTGCGGCCGGCGCACCGCGCTGATCCGATGGCAGGAGCCAGGAGCCAGGTGCTTTTCCTGGTCTCCCATGGGGTGCAGGGCCCAAGCACCTGGGCCATCCTCCACTGCACTCCCTGGCCACAGCAGAGAGCTGGCCTGGAAAAGGGGCAACCGGGACAGAATCCGGCGCCCCGATCGGGACTAGAACCCGGTGTGCCGGCGCCGCTAGGCGGAGGATTAGCCTAGTGAGCCGCGGCGCCGGCCCATTTTATTTATTTGAAAAGAGGAGAAAGAGGGATCTTCCAAATGGCTTCCCAAATGGCTCATTCCCCAAATGGTTCACTCCCCAAATGGCTGCAACAGCCAGGGCTGTGCCACACCGGAGCCAGGAGCTCTTTCCAAGTCTCCCACATGGGTACGAGGACCCAAGCACTTGGGCCATCTTCTACTGCCCTCCCAGGCATATTAGCAGGGAGCTGGATCGGAAGTGGAACAGCCGGGACTTGAACCTGCACCCATATGGATGCTGTCATTGCAGGTGCAGCTGTAACCACTACACCACAGTGCTGGTCCTATAAAGGGGAATTTTAAAAAAATGTATTTATCTTGGGGCCAGTGCTGTGGCGCAGCAGGTTAAAGCCCTGGTCTGAAGTGCTGGCATCCCGTATGGGTGCCGGTTCTAGTCCTGGCTGCTCCTCTTCTTCAGCTCTCTGCTATGGCCTGAGAAAGCAGTGGAAGATGGCCCAAGTCCTTGGGCCTCTGCACCCACATGGGAGACCCAGAAGAAGCTCCTGGTTTTGGATCAGCACAGCTCCAGCCATTGTGGCCAATCGGGGAGTGAACCAGCGGATGGAAGACCTCTCTGTCTCTACCTCTCTGTGTAATTCTTTCAAATAAATAAAATAAATCTTTATATATATATGTATGTATGTGTATATATATATATATATATATATATATATATTCATTTGAAAGGCAGAGTGACAGACATGGAGAGAAAAAGATCTTCCATCTGCTGGTTCACTGCATTGGCCAGTACTGGACCAGGCCTGAGCCAGGAGCCAGGAACTCCATTCAGCTTTCCCACATGGGTGGCATGGATTCAAGTACTTAAGCCATCTGCTGGTGCTTCCCAGGCACATTAGCAAAAAGTAGATCAGGAAGTGGAGCAGCCAGGACTCGAACCAGTGCCCAGATGTGGGATGGTGGTGTCACAAGCAGCGGCTTAACCCACAAACCACAACGCCCGCCGTAAAGGGGCATTTTGTCAAATGTCCTTGAACCTAGAACTAAACAGCTCATTCTAAGTCTGATTCCCAAGATGGATAAGAGAAAAAATATACCATGGTTCATGGAGTTACTTCCAAAAGGATTCTCTGAGTTTTCTCTGGGGCTCCATTCATACTCGCCACCCGCATTCCTGGGCACTTAGCACAGCTGGCATGAGCGTGCAGTCATGCATGGGGAAGACTGTCCTGCTCTGGCGGGGCGCGGAGCTCACTCACCCCTGAACTCTAATGCCTATGTTTCTTCTCCTCCCAACACTAGCCTCTGAGAACCAGAACGGCAATGGACTGAGTGCCCCCTCAGGTCCCAGTGGTGGGCCGCACCCCCCTCACACTCCGTCCCACCCCCCCAGCACCCGAATCACCCGAAGCCAGCCCAATCACACACCTGCCGGCACTCCCGGCCCCTCCAGCAACCCCGTCAGTAATGGCAAAGAAACCCGGAGGAGCAGCAAGAGATAGCAAGACACTCTTCCCTTCCTGCCACCCACCGTGATCCCAGCATCTGCAGCAGAACCAGAGAGCCGTCCCCTGGGCTGCTGGCCTTGGCATGGGCGGGGTGTTTCAGCCACTGAATGTCACTGCAGGGCTGGTGAGCAGTGGCCGTAACCACCTGAAGCCCTAATGTCCCCTGTCTGCTGGGGTGCAGGCCCTCCCTGCGTGGAACCCACAATCAGTCTGTTTCTGGTGTCACTGTCCCAGGGGTGCTCACTGAAACCCCTCTGACCTAATAAAGGCCACCACGCTATACTGCACTCCTTTGCCTTCTGTGGGAAAAGGAACTGATTAGCAGCTGGGCATTCAGGAACACAGGGTTTCCCTTGGAGGCGGAGGGGAGCTGGGTTACAGGCAAGGAGCCACAAGGTGAATCAGGCCTGCCCCTTTAAGGCACTGTCCCTCCCCTGCCCCCTCCCTGCAGGTGACCCTTGCCCGCCCGCCCCGCCTGCACTGGAAGGCTGGGTCCCCCTTGCTCTGGGCGTGCCTGCTGCCTCCCGCTGCCAGGTAATGCCAACCTCGACCCCCTCGTCCCAATCAGACTTTGCTCCACGTCAGACATCTGAGGGGAGCCCACATACGCAGCTCCTCTCCCCACAGGGCCTCCCTTTTCTGGGTCATGAATTTCCAGAGCACTGGCTCCTCCTTTTGCTGGGCTGGGGAACTTCGTGTCTCTTCCCCCTCTCCGGAGCTTAGGGACACCTGGGCCCAGCTTCCCCAGGGAATTCAGGGATGGGGTTGGAGAGGAAGTCCAGTGCCAGATGCAAGGTAGGTAGGGTAGGAATCTGCATGTATGCAGGAAAAGACTAATCTGGTGCTAACTGGCATGGAGGCGGGGTGAAAATTACGGGGACAAAAACCTCATTGGGCCCAGGGTCTTAGCCATGTGGCTTTCCCAGAGGCAGAGGGCAGCGCCCCCCTCACGCTCAGGGGCCCAGCGGACTGGCCTTTGACCCCCACCCCAGAGACCAGTGAACCATTAACTCCTTTCCACTTGAACCTTCCCACACTGGCTCCACCCAGCCTCACCCAAAGGCAGGTGGGCTAGGAAGAGGGGCCGCGTCCATCTCTGCATGACGTGGCCTCTGCTCCGCCTGGACATCTGGGCACAAGGAGGCTGAGCCTGGGTTCCCCCTCCTTCACGCCGGAACCTCTTAATATCCACAGCAAGGCCGACGTCACTACTCTCCCGGTGCGAGTGGGGTGAGACTCTGGGCATTGGAGATCTGAAGGGCGTGCTTGTGGGAACGGGGAGAGCTGTGGAGGAGCTGGCAGTGGAGAGGGAAGAAGGCAAGGGTGGGGGCAGGTGCAAGGAGTGACGTCCCCCAGCGTCACCCCCTGGCCCCCTTGTTTTTCTAGGGCACAGTCCTCAGGATGTTCCGGGGGGAATAGACGCTGGAACCGGAGCCTGCAGCCCATCCCCCTCAGTGATGGGGCCCCCTGGGAGTCACCTGCTGGCTGCTCTGTGTGTGGGGGTGGTCTCAGGCTGGGTAGGGGGCTCAGTCCCCAACCTGGGTCCTGCGGAGCAGGAGCAGAACCATTACCTCACCCAGCTGTTTGGCCTCTATGGAGAGAATGGGACGCTGACCGCAGGGGGCCTAGGACGCCTTCTCCACAGCCTGGGGCTAGGCCGAGTTCAGGGGCTTCGCCTGGGACACCATGGGCCTCCCGGCCGGGTGGCACCCCCAGCTGGAGACAATTCCACACACAGGTATTGACCCCCGCCTCCAAATGCCACAGCCCCCAACTTGGCAGGGCTTAGCCCAGTCTCCAACTGTCCAGTCCTGGCTGCCTGAGAGCCTTGGAGTTACACATTCTCCAGAACCCATCTCCTCTGTGTCCCTCATGACCCCTCTTGCCGCCTTCTAATTGTCTTCTTCCAAGCCCCTGGCCCTTTAAATTCTTCACCCTTAGTCCCAAGGCTCCATGTCTCCCAGCTGAGCTGGCTCCAAGGCTCCATGTCTCCCAGCTGAGCTGGCTCCCGGTTTTCAGCATTTTTAGCTGTCCGCCGTTTGTTTTCTCGCACTCCTACAACCCTCCCATAAATGAACAATTCTCAGACCTCCTGGGGAGCCTGTTCTGGGGGGTTCCTGAGAGCACATGGATGAGTCTGACTGCTATCCCATCATCCCTTCCAGGTCGCAGGAGCCCGAGCTGAGTGTGGACGTCTGGGCAGGGATGCCCCTGGGTCCCTCAGGGTGGGGTGACCCAAAGGAGTCCAAGGACCCCCACCTGGTCCCAGGAGCAGCCCCCTCGGGCCTGGACCTCTTTCACAGGCTTCTGATGCTAGACCACTCGCTGGCTGACCATCTGAATGAGGATGTGAGTCGAGATTTCTAGAGAAAGGAAGGAGCTGTGGGATTAGATGGCCTAAAATATTTAAAGAGTCAGCAACAGTATAGTTATTTAAAAAACAAACAACCAAAAGCCAATCCCAGCATAGTCTTGGGGTATGTCATTCTAGAAGTGAAATAGGTTCCTCCTGCACTCAGAGCAGGTGCACCCACCCCCAGGGCTCCAAGACCCAGTTTAGAGACCACACTTGGCAAAACAGAGGATCCAGAGAGCAGCCCAGGGTAGGACGCAGGGATGGTTGCCTGGAGAGACCTGTGGGGAGTGGATGGCCGTCTTCATACAGAAAGATAGCAAACTTGCTCCACACACATCAAAGAGCAGACAAGGCTGCCAGGCCCTGAACACATGAACACGTGACGGGGCTAGGAGGGCTCTAGTGGCCCCGCAAGCTCCATCACCACATCAGTGAAATGATCACGGTCCCCACAGTGGAAGGACAGGCTTTAAATATCTGCGTCATGTTCCAAGGATTCCCAGTGCGTGACCCTCTGCTCAACCCCCTCAGTGTCTGAATGGCTCCCAGCTGCTGGTCAATTTTGGTCTGAGCCCCGCTGCTCCTCTGACTCCTCATCAGTTTGCTCTGCTGTGCCCAGCTCTGCTTTATCAGATTGACAGCCGCGTCTGCACCCAAGCCCCAGCCCCAACACCCTCGGCGGATCTACTGTCTGGTCAGTGGGTGAGAGTGGGTGGGCAGCACCCTGAGTCTTGGGGAAGAATGGGCCCCACTGGGGTCCCCATCTCCTCACAGCACACCCCTGCCCTAGCTTGCCTCTGGGCCTCTCCCTGCAGCCCTGGCCTAACCCAGGCCCTGGCTCTCCCAGCCCTGCTTCACAGTGGCCTGGCAGTCCTGCTGCTCAGCCTCCCTGCTCCCCTCTCCCTGCTGCTGCTGCGGCTCCTGGGACCTCGTCTGTTGCGGCCCCTGCTCGGCTTCCTGGGGGCCCTGGCCGTGGGCACTCTTTGTGGGGATGCACTGCTACACCTGCTGCCACATGTACGTGAGGACCCTTCCTGTACCCCTGCCTCCAGTGGCAGCTGGCCATGGATCCGAGGGATTCCCAGCCACAGGACGGGGCCCCTCCCCCCGTCACTCCCACATCCCCCCTCACCAGCCCTTGGCTTTGACCCTCAGCTGCCTTGGGGCAGGGTGGAAGTGATGGCCTGCCACCTCCCATGTGGAAGGGGTGTCTGTGTGTGTGGCCGGCGCAGGGGCTTCCAGGGGCTTCTCTGACCTCCGTCAGGCACGAGGAGGGTGGCACACAGGAGCTGGTGGGCGCCCAGAGGAGGACCTGGGTCCAGGGCTGTCAGTGCTGGGAGGCCTGCTCCTGCTCTTCGTGCTGGAGAACATGCTAGGGATTTTGCGGCACCGAGGACTCAAGACAGTGAGTGACACCCTTTTCTCCTCTTCCTGCAGAGACCAGAGTCCTAGCTAAGAACTGACCAAACAAGCCAGGAGGCGAGGGTCAGTGTGTGCTCTTGGTCCTCTGATGTGTGTGTGACTGTGCAGCAACCAACAGGGTGGGTAGGGGCTCCTTTGTATAGAGTCAGGACTTCTGGCCAAATGGCCTCCTCTCCCAAGTTCAAGTCAACAAGACACAGGCAGATCCCAACCTGAGAAGAGGGCAGAGATCAAAGAACATCCCCAGGTGCCAGAGGTGGGACAACCAGGTGTTCGTTCACCCAGCTGGTGGCTGGGTCCCCCCTGTGTGCCCGGCTCTGCTGCTTCCTCCACCAGGAGGGTTACCTCCTGTTTCAGAGATGCTGCAGGCCAAGGCGGAGGGATGTCAGAGCACCACACCTGGACCCAGAAGATGGCTGTGGGAGGGCCCTTCAGCCCCTACAGGCAGCTCCAGGTAACTCCAGGAAGAAATGCAGGGTGCCCTCCAGCTCCCGGTCCTCACAGACAGCCACCAACACCTGTCCTCATCCTTCTCCCTGCAGAGCCAGGGGCTCAGGGCCAGAGGGAGCGGGACAGCCAGCCCTCAGCAGCCCCGGCCCCCATCGGGCACCAAGGCCACAGCCACGGGTGCCAGGGTGGCAGTGGCGCCAGTATCACGTGGATGGTCCTCCTGGGAGATGGTCTGCACAACCTCACTGACGGGCTGGCCATAGGTGTGAGGGGAGGGAGTGGCGGGAGGCAGGGCCCAGGGGAGGCCAGGGCTCCTGGTTGTCGGCTGGAGCCAAGAAAAGGCTGCCAGGAAGAGCAGGACGAGAGGACCAGAGTGGGAATGCAGACACCCCTTCTGACCTGATGACCTCCGATCCCGCCAATCCCAGGGGCTGCCTTCTCTGATGGCTTCTCCAGTGGCCTCAGCACCACCCTCGCAGTCTTCTGCCATGAGTTGCCCCACGAACTTGGTAGGAATGCACAAGTGGGGTGGAAGGAGAGACCCCCCCAAGGGGGAGAGGGGCAGCGCTGGCTGGCTCATTCCCTCGCACGCTGTCCTCTTTCTCCTGCAGGTGACTTTGCAATGCTGCTCCGGGCAGGGCTGTCTTTTCGGCGGCTGCTGCTGCTGAGCCTCGTTTCTGGAGCCCTAGGACTAGGGGGTGCAGCCCTGGGGGTGGGGCTCAGCTTGGGCCCTGTCCCCCTCACTCCCTGGGTGTTTGGGGTCACTGCCGGGGTCTTCCTCTATGTGGCACTCGTGGACATGGTGAGAGGTGTGGGGTAGGGCAGAGAAACCAAGGGAAGTGGGGAGGGGGCGGAGTGGAAGATGGGGAATCATCAGTCCCCCACCTCAACTGAGCACAGGGTCCTAGCAGGGTGTGGACCACAAGCCCCTAAGAGAAACAAGGGCCTGAAGTGTTGGGGTGGGGGGCTGCTGCCCCTCTTCTCATGCTGAGAGGCCAAAGGCAAGGTCAGCAGTCTGACTTAGTCTTCTTTCCTTCCAGCTCCCGGTCCTGCTGCGCCCTCCCGAGCCCCTTCCTACACACCACGTGCTCCTGCAGGGGCTGGGGCTGCTGCTGGGGGGCAGCCTCATGCTCACCATAGCCTTGCTGGAGGAGCAGCTATTGCCCCTGGTCTCTGGTGACTGACGGGGGGGATGGGTGGGGGGCCAGTGGGAAGGGGTCCAGGCTGCCCCTCCTTCCCCCCAGCCACAGGAATGGAGGCGGGACACAGGGCCAGTAGGAGCAACAGGATTTTAATAAACAGAACCCATCCCAAAGCCATGACTACGACAGTTGTACTTGCACCAAAACAGCATAGAAAACCAGGTTGTGGTGGGAGGGCTTGAAGCAGGTTAGGGGAGGACATGAGCAGGGGCCTGGAGGGTGCAGGGTACATCAGTCTGCGGGAGAGCATTGTGCTTTAGCCCAGGGAGGAGGGGGAGAGGAGGGGCGAATGCACCGAGGTCCCCACTTGTTCCTGCTGTCCTCAGCACCCTGGGGCTGCAGGCATCTGGGCAGATCTGCCCTTTATTGCTGCCCACCAGCATTCAACACCCCCGACCCCAGCACTAGCACCACAGGTGGATCCGGGGCAGGGATAAGGGCAGGAGTGGGAACAACATTGCTTAGAAAGATTCAACTAGAACCAGTGACTTGTGCTCAGTTCTCTTTACTTCCTACAACCGAGTACATGGGTCACAGGTGGAGGGTGCGGCAGGACACGAGCGTGCCCCTCTGTGCCCCCAGCACACACCTGCACACAGGACGGTGGTGTCTGCAGCATCACAGGTCATGCAGGGCGTGGGGAAGGGGAGGTTCACACACACATAGATGCCCACAGCGGGTACCAGACAGAGAACACCCCTGAATATACACAGCTGTACATGGGGACCCCCCCAGGTCCCCCCCAACCCTCTCCCCTGTCTTGCCATCCCCTAGGCAGGGGAACTGTATTGCTTTGAGAGAGCCACCCTGGGGGCTGCTCTGCCAGGCACCCCCTTCCCATCCCCCCCAATTTTGGCACATCTGCAAGACACACGGCAGCGAGAGTAGGCACCTCCCCGCCAGGCTTCTGGAGCTTGGAGCTGGGGAAGGGGGCAGGAGACTTCATCCTCCATCTTTCCTTTAGCCCTTCCCGAACCCCTGCCAAACCCACTCCAGCTGGAACCCACCCCACCCCCTAACACACACATACAAAGCTGAGTTATCCAAGAATACGAAGGGAACAAGGAGATTGTCCGGGATGGGAGCGGAGGTGGGGGGAGGGGGGACTGGAAGCAGAGGACCCCCCCCTCCGGCATGGGGGTAAGACTGGCACAACAGCTACTTTAGTGCAATTGGAGAGGGTGCCCAGAGTGAGGGATGGAGATGGGAGGGAAGGCTCTCCCCAACTTCCCTGGGGGCAAACTCAGGCTTCTGGGTTCCCCAGGGAAAGGGCCAGGGGCAGATCCTATGTCACCCGCCACCATCTGCCCTCCCAAATGCAGTGACAGTGTCCCCCTCACACCTAAGTGGGCAACAGCAGCCTCGGAGTCAGTACCTTCAAGTAATTCAGAGAGCAGACCTCCCCACCCCGGCTTCCTCCCGTCTCTGCATTTGGTCGCTACTCTAGGGGTTGGGTCGGGAGGAGGGAGTCCCCACGTCAGAGCCTTTCCTCTCCACCTCCCTCTTCCCAGACCATGGGGCTTGGTCCTCAAAGATTCCTTACCTCTGCCCCTGCCCAACTTAGGGCAAGGCCAAGGAGGGCAGGAGCCACCACGATTAGAGGGGAAGGGGCTGCTTTGCTCCTGGCCCTCCTTAAAAGGTAGGGTTTCAAGCTAGGTGGGATGGGGCCGCACTGGCTGGCCCCAGGAGTAGGGTTTCCGGGCTAGGGTCTGTAAGGCTATTTTCCTTTGCGGTTGGAAGGGGAGGTGGGGATGAACACTGGGCGTAGGGAGGGGGTGAGAAGTGGCTGAGGGGAAGGAGGAAGAGGCCCCTCCGCTGGAGTCCAGTCACTGGAGCCATTAGGACGAAGAAACACTCAGTGCATAAGATACAGAGTGTGCCCACTCCAAGTCCTGCCAGCCTGGCCCCAAGCCCATCTCTCCAGGCCCCGGAGGAGGTTTGGGGATTACAGCTGTAGAACCGTTCACTCTGGCCTCGCCCACCCTACCCCCAGCCTCTTCTCCCCTTCCAGTCCAGGGAGCAGGAAGGTGCTCAGTGGGCAGTGGGCGGGTGACAGCGGTGGAAACAGTATTGAGTTTTCCTTTGGTTACATATTGAAGGCAAAGGTGAGCTGGACTTACAGTCAAGACGGACAGGGGTGAGGAAGGAAGAGGGGCATGGCTGGGGCTGGAGAGGGAGGGAGACCCCCCTCAGCCCCTCCACCCCGGGGAACACAAGTCTAGTGGGGTCGTGGGGTGGCAGTCCCTCTATCAACTCTCCCACCCCCCACAGCACCAAACAAAGGAGAAGCCCCCCCACCCCAGCTGTACCCCCCCCTCCCCGCCCTGGGCTGTACATTCAGTGGTTTTCAGCAGTCCTATGGCTCAGCGGGCCACGGGCGGGGGAGGTGGCCCATCAGTCTCAGCTGGACAGTGGCAGTGACCTGGGTCTGTTGGTCCATCCCAGGACCCACAGTTTGTGCCTTTTTGTTTTTCTGAAGGATAGAACACAACCCTAGCAAAGCCACCGCCCATGCAGAGACATCCCCCCAAAAGTCAGAAACTAAAAACTGGCTCTTTTTGTCTCGCCCTCTGATTCACACCTCTGTTTCCCTGTCTCCTATGTAGCCCTCGCTCTGTCTCCTTTGCAGGGACCTGGGGCTGCTCCCAGGCTCCTCACTCAAAACAGGCCTTTCCACAAAAGTGCTTATTCCTTGAAGCAAGTGCTTTAGAGCTGCGGGGGGAGGGGCAGAGGGAGGCTGAAGTAGGGAGAGGCTCCCTCCCCACCCTCCCCCTGCAGATTGGGGGGCATTCTGCCTGTTTTACTTCTCCACACCCATTTAAGTCAGAGATTAAAAAAAATCGTAACATTAAAATAAATATGCAGTGGCCATGAGAATGGTCAAAATGCTTCAAAAGACACTAGGGGCTGAGGAGCCCGGGGGTGGGGTGGGGTGGGATTTCCTTTGGCATATGGAGAGGAGGCCACTCGCCCCCAGGCCCCCTCACGGTCACATGACAAGGGCCCAGGGACGCCCCACAGCCTCCCCAAGCACTGCCGACAGAGTGCCAAGGAGGCGGCAGGGAGCAGAGAGCTCCCCGAAATCTCACCTAGCAAACAAGGGGGCTCCTGACAAGCACTCCGATTTTTCCTGTCATCGCCAAGCAGTGACAAAGGAGAACACGACTGACACCCGGGAGTCTTGGCCCGGAAGAGGACCCTTCTCCCACTCCCCTTCCTCCCACCCCCGCCCCCCACCTAGTTCCCAGCACCAAGATGAGAGGGGGTGGAATGGGAAGATCCGAGGAGAGAGAATTGAAGTTGGGGGACAAGCTTTGCAGAACCAGCAGGGTGGGGGTGGGGGCTGCAGCCCTTAAGAGAGGTCACATTGATTGTCGTAGAGGGGGGGACAGGGTGTGAGTGGGGGGTGGGCAAGAGGGGGCATCGCAAGGCCCTTTGGCTTTGAAAACAAAACTGAAAACTAAAAGCTGCACAATCCTTCTCACCAATAATGGTCATTTGGAAGCCTTGAAATGGTTTAGGAACGGAGGGTTGGGAAGCAAGACAGAGAGACAGGGATGAAAAGGGGCCATGAGTGAATAAGGACCCAGACAGACACCCCAGGCTTCGGCAACCAGCATGAGGTATGGTTGAGGGCGTCTGCTGGGGAGCGGGGGAGTCCTGGGGATGCCCGTCCCGCCCCCAGCCCACCCCTGGCAAGGGTGGCAAGACATTCAGGGGACACAAGTGGAAAATGGCTAAGATCGTAAATAAAGCGAGTTGGAGTTGGGGAGGGAGGCCGCGGGGAGCCCCGCGCTGTGTAAACGAAGCCTGTCCAGTTCTCTGGGCGGGGGGTGGGTGGGGTGGGCAATACTGACAACAGCCAAACCGGGCGAAGACGCACTGTGGGCGGGGCATGACCTCGATTCAAGTTCTGGGTCTTGGTCCCTGGCTGAGGTATTGAGTGTGAGGAAGGGAACACTGGGCGACAGGAGCAGGTCCAACTGTCCAGGCGGCTTGACTAGGAGATGGATGGACAGGGCATCCGAAGGGACCAGGGCCAAATTCAATGCTACATTTAGAGAGAAAACTGCCCCCTCCTCATTCCAGCCCAGTTTGGCTTTGGGGATGCAACTTTTAGGAATCTTATCAGTGCAGCCCCGAGCTCAACCCCTTCTCTCCCAGCTGCTGGGAAGGCAGGGACCAAGCCTCAGTGTCTGTTCGCTGCTCCCCAGGTCAGTGCTGCATCCTCACCCCAGAGGAAGAGCCTGGGTCCCGAGCAGCCACGTCCCTGGTCTGCCCTGCCCCTCCCACCATCTTTGGCTTCAGATCAGGAGTGACTGGGGGCGGTGGGGACTCTCGGACATAACGGAAGGTGGAGGCAAACAGGGGGGTTGGAGGAACTATGGGATGGGGGCACAGGAGGAAGAACACAGTCCCTCCCTCCACACATGCAAACACATGCCTGAAACAGGTAGGACGTACTAGGGCTATGGTTTTGAAATGGGCAGGAAATTAATTTTGTTTCTTCCCCTAAAGGACAAAATGCTTACTTAAAAATTCATGACAAGCCTCAAAGTTCAGGGAGAGGAGAGCCAGGGAGGGGAGGGCCACAGGCTCTGCTCTCCCAAAAGAAAAAGAAAGAAGCAAGGTTAAAGTGCGTGGTTAGGGGGCCAGGCCAGGAATGGGAGGGGGCGGGGCAGGCTGTGGGGGCAGAACCAGCCCTTGATTTGCATATGAGGAGCCGGGGGAAGAGTGCAGGATTTGGGGCCCAGGTACAGTAGTCGCTGCTTCAAGTGTTTTGCATTTGAACTTTAGGGGCGATAGGTACAGAAGTGGGGGAAAAGCTCCAGGCCCCAGTGCTAAATACCCTCCCCCCTCATTCTCTAGCTGCCCCTGAAGGGGGAGGGGGCGCCCCCAGAGTGCTCACACAGTACCAGAAATTAAGGCTTCTCACTGCTGCGGGGATGGAGGGGCCAGCCAAGCAGGGAGGCAGTGATGGGAATGGAAGAGGAGGGGGGATCTGCCTGGCAGTAAGGGCAGGGCAAGGGGGTGCAGAGGGGGAGAGTCCAAGGGAAGAGGGGGAGCAGCTGGCAGCAGAAAGAGGGAGCTGAGATGGAGTCAAAGAGAGGGGAAGCCAGGCATTCAGCAATCATTTTGGGACACTTGGCAGAGGGGTGGCCTGGGGTGCTCCCTGTCAGCCCCAGACCCCTGCCAGGCCAGTGGTGCGGCAAAGGGGTGAGCAGCTGCTCCCCAGTGCTTCATGTTCCCCTCCGCCCCCCAACCCAGTCGTGTTCTCCTTTAAAGTGCCCTAAATGTTTAGACTTTTTCTAAATAAATAGAATAAGATATCAAGCCACCGGCAGGGAGAGGGATTCTGGAGGGGCTACTCAGAGTAGCAGCCATCTAGCCCGATGGCACCGTGCCGCTCCTGGCTGTAGGGGCACGAGGCCCCGTGGGGCAGGGCGCCGCAGCCACCCACCGTCTTGGCGGCTGCGATGCCGCAGTTCTTGAGCAGGCTGAAGCTGAAAGGACTGACGGCGTCCTTGGGCGGGAAAGGCTTCATGGTGGAAAGGATCAAGGCCAGGCAGTCTGCCACGTCTTTGTTAGGGGCACAGGCCAGGGCCGGGGTGTGACCTGCGGGGCCAAGTGCGGGGAGCTGAGGCACAGTCCTGGATCCTTGGGTCCCCAGCCTCTGGGAGGGCAACCGAAGCGGGTAAGCACCCAGGTGGTCAGAATTCAAGGGCAACCAGGGCCCCAGGAGGCTGACAGGGAGATTCCCAAAGTGTAGGGTCCAGGCTGGAGCCAGGCCGGGGGGATGGGACATGGAAGCCTGGATGTGTGTGTGAGTGAAGAGGGGGTCCTCCCGACCCTGCTGGCTCCATCACATTCCCCTCTGACTCCACAGTACTGGTAGTGGTGGGTCCCTGCTCTCAAGACTTCCCTTGGGAAGAAAATCTTATTTGCAGCAAGATTAAGAAGTCACCTCCTGGAAGATGGCCCCTGGCCCCAAGCCCACGAGAGGTGAGGACTCCAGATCCCCCTACCTTCTTCATCCACAGCCAGCACTGTGGCCCCACGGCTCAGCAGGGCCTGCACCACGGAAGCTAGACCGTTCCGGGCAGCAATGTGGAGTGGCCTTGGAAGAAAGGAAGGAGCGCGAAATCAGCAGGAGGCCAGGCTGCCCTCCCACCCCAGCCAGGGTGGCAAGGGCTCTGGACAAATGCTGCGAGCTCCAGAGCCCCTGGAGCGGGGGCTGCTCCTTCTTCACCCACCTGCCTCCCCCAGCCAGGAGCCCCCTTCCCCAGGCACTCACATCTGCAGTGCACTGTTAGTAGCATTGATAAGGCCAAGGTCTTGGGTCTCTGCCAGGATCATGAGGGCACATTTCTCATGGCCCTGAGGGAGAGGACAGAGAGTGGGCACTTGTGAAGTGGAAGCATGACGGGCGGACAGTGGGCTGTCCCACCAGTCAGATGGGCTGGAGAAGTGTAACTTCTGTCCCAATCTGCTCTGCATCAAGCCCTTCCCCATTCTGTTGAGGTCTGCCCGTGACACAGCCCACACCCCAGCCCCCCGACTCCAGGCAGTACCTTGCTACAAGCCAAGTGGAGGGCAGTGTTCTTATTCTCATCCAGCACAGTGAGGTCTGCCTTCCCTCGATACAGCAGAAATTCTGTAAGAGAAATGCGACCGTGGGAGTGACACCTCCTTCCAGGGCAGCAGCCATCCTGCCTCTCCACCCACCCCGGCTGCGTCCTGACCCCAACCCCAGTCCACACGCCGGGGGCGCTCCTCCCTTCCATGTGGCCCCTACCCACCCACGGCAGCAGTCTGCCCATTCTCCGCCGCCGTCATGAGTGCAGTGCGGCCACTGTGGTCCGTGGCGTTCACCTCGGCTTGATGCTGCAGCAGCATCCGGAGCCCAGAGACATTGTCTGCGAAGGCAGCGGCGTGAAGGGGGGTCCTGTGGGTGGGCAGGGCAGAGTGAAGAGGGGCATGCCCTTGTGCCTGAGCAAACAGGAACCCCAGGTGCCCGGGCTCCTCCGCGAACCGTCCCTCACTCACCGTCCTTTGGCATCTCGGCTGTTCACAATCTTGGCACCCAGAGCTCCCAGCAGCATCTCTGTGGTGCTGTCCTGGTTATTAATTCTAGGGAAGAGGGAGCAGGGGTCACCAGGAAGGCAAGGGAAGTGGCCTTCCTATGCTGACGCAGGTCACAGCCCCCGCGCCCCCGGAGGCGGGGAGCCCACAGTGCACAGGGACTTACACTGCACAGTGCAAAGGAGTGAAGGGGTTTCCTTCCAGGTACGAAAATGGGCTGTGTTCAAGTAACAACTCCAGACAATCTTCATGTCCTGGGGACGAGGACGAAAGGGTGACAACAGAGAAAAGGCAGGGGCGCTCCACTCCACTTCCAGGCCCGCTTCAGCGCAGGCTCCCCACAGCCCACCCTCTCTACATCGCACACACATTCTGAGCCTACCGGAGGCCCAGGCCATACCAGTGTAGGAGGCCCAGTGCATGGGCGAGTATCCGCTGTAATCCACCCCAGCATCCAGGGGGTCTGTGGACAGGGCAGCCTGCAGTAGTGTCCGCAGGACTGCTGTGTGGCCACAGGCTGAGGCCAGGTGAATGGGCGTGCGGCCCTTAAAGTCTCGGCAGAGCACAAACGCATCGTGGTCCAGCAGGGCAGCCAGGCAGTCCTCACAGCCAGTCACTGCCTGTGGGGGGACACAGGGGCGAGAGTCGGGGTGAGGAGCCCTTCCCTTTCTGCCGGCCAGGAGCAGGAACCACCTCCAGGGCTCCAATCCCTGATGCACAACAGGCAGCCCAGGTGTTAGGCACCAGCATCTCCTTCCCTGTGTCTCTGTGTCAACAGCCATCAGGATGGCCAGAGTCCACCCCGCAGCTCTGGAGTGAGACACTGAATGCAGAGCCAAGAAAGGACCGAGGGGGTGGGAATCTTGGGGGAGGAGGAGGCAGCTCTGGGACAGTGGTCGTGAGAAGGACCTGGGTGATGGCCGCACTGTCTGAGGGCACAGTAGTCTGAGTGGTGGGCCTGTGCTCATGTGTGATTACAAAGCAGGGCAGTCAGCTGGGGACGGTGGCCACTCATCCTGCAGCAGGCACACCCTTGTGTGAAAGCCTGGCCCGCCTCCTACACAGTCCGATGCCCTGCTGCTGGGGGGCGCTGTGCTGCCACATCGAGGCCTGCCTGTGAGCAACCCGCCCAGGAGCTCTCACCCCACGGTGGAGGGCAGTGCGGCCCCGGAGGTCAGCAGCATCGGCTGTGGATCCTTTCTCTAGCAGCAGATGTACACAGTCCACGTGGCCATTCATGATGGCCAGCATCAGTGGGGTTCTACAGAGGGGGGCAGGAGAAAGGGTGAGGGTCCAGCACGGGTGGGAACACCTGCATCCCACCCCCCGCCCACACTCACTGTCCATAGGCATCCATGACATCAGTGATGTCAGCTCGCTCCCCACTGTCAATCAGCAAGTGCAGGGAGTCAGTGTGGCCAGAGGCAGCTAGAGACAAAAGGGAGCTTGCATCAGGGCAGGGTCAGCTCGAGCCTCAAGGCTGCAAGGGTCAAGGTTACGGGAAGACCTGGGGCAGCGAGACACTCTGGAGACAGGAAGCTATGAATCAGGACACATGGTTACATCCGCCCTGCCCCAGCCCTCTCCCAGGCCTAACTGTTCAGGAAGCGGGCACTAACCAGCAGCGTGCAGGGGCGTCCACTTGCGCTTACGCTCCTTGATGAGGGCGGAGGCACCGTGGGCCGTGAGTACCTCCACACACTCAGTAGAGCCTCGCTCAGTGGCCAGGAAGAGCGCGGTCCGGCCTTTGTGGTCCCTTACATCCAGGTTCACCAGCGTCTCCGCCAGCGTCTTCAGGGCTTCACAGTGACCGTTATAGGCCTAGAGGTGTGCAGGCAACCAACAGATGCAGCTCGAGACACACACCTGGCCCTACTGTGCCTTGGGAGCCCATGGAGACACTCTAGGCATTAGTCCTCCACAGCTCCCCAGGCCCCTCGGGCTTCTCCCCCTGCATTGTGCCCTTCCCCACAAGAAGGCAGACGCAAGGATCAGGTGATTGGGTCACCCTTACGCGAGCCTGAGAGCAGGTGGGGCAGGGACGGCAAGAAGAAAAGACTGGGGACTCACAGCTAAGTGCAAAGGGCTGACTGGAATGGTGCTCTCCACATCCTCCAGGCAGTTAAAGGACATTTCTAAGAGCTGCAATGGACAGGAAAACAGGCGCTGAGGTTCGGCAGCTCCTAAGGTATCAGTCCCCTGCCGCCCCACTGACAGTCATCTCTAAGCTCCTGGTTCCACGGAGCACACTTGATACAACCACCCCTTGGTTTCAGAATCCACAAACCCAGAGGTAGACCATGCACCTTGGCCTGGCCTCGGCACATACCAGTTCGAGGTTCTGTCTGTTGCCGTAGGCGGCTGCATAGTGCACAGCTGTGTAGCCCTGCCTGTCCCGCAGGGAGGGGTCTGCACCATTATCCAGTAAGAATTCCAGACAGCTGTGGAGCCGGGGGTAGGCTGTGAGGCACAACTCTGAGAGGGGCAAGAGGGCCCCTCCAGGCCCACCAGCCACCACCTATCCTCGGCTCCAAATCCTGCTTACCCCCAGCCCGGATCCTGACCCGCCACTCCTCAAGGGCTGCCCTAGAGCACTCTGGCTTCAGCACCTCCTTCAGCCTTTGAGTGCTCGTCTAGAAAAGCCAGCGCACGGGCTTCAGTCTGCACCCTCCACCCTCGACCCGACCTGGCGGCTACCGCCCAGAATGCAGCCTCACCCCAGCCCCTCTGAAGCAGCTCTACTCAGCTTTCTGTTACCAGTGGTCGTAACCATGGTACCCCAGAAGCACAGAGTGCTCCCCTATCTGCTGCTTCACTTCCTAGGGTTAGGCCAGGCTGAAGCAAGGAGCTGGGAACCCAATCTGGGTCTCCCACGTGGGTGGCAGGGACCCAAGTGCTCGGAGCCACATTGCTTCCTCCCAGGATATGTAATGACAGGAATCGAAGCCACAGCTGCAAAGCAAACGCAAGCACTGGGATATGGGCACCTTAATCGCTAGGCCAAATACCTGCCCCCTGCTCATTTCAAACCCAGTCCCAGCTCCTCTCCTCTGTCTACCCCAGCCTTCCCAGCTAGGCGCCTCTCCCCTTCTCATACCCTAGCAGGAGCTGTGACAGTAACAGTCAAGTGTTTAGCACTCATGATGCGTCCAGACTATTCTAAGCACTTCATGTGTGTTAAAAATAATGTAATCCTCATACTGATCTTACCTTGACCATGGTTGAGGAAATCGAGGCACAGAGAGACTAAGTAATGTGCCAAAGCTCACACAGCTGAGCCGCTCGAATTTGATTACACTTTTTTTTTTTTTTTTTTTTTTAGAGATTTTTATGGGGTTGGCACTGTGGCAAAGCGGGTAGAGCTGCTGCCTATGGCACCAGCATCCCACATGGATGCAGGTTCAAATTCAGGCTACTCAATTTCCAATGCAGCTCCCTGCTAGTGGCTTGGGAAGGCAGCAGAAGATGGGTCAAGTGCTTGGAGCCCTGCCACCCATGTTGGGGACCCAGAGGAAGCTCCTGGCTCCTGATCAGTCCAGCTCTGGCAGTTGCAGCCATCTGGGGAGTGAACCAGTAGATGGAAGACCTCTCTCTCTCTCTCTCTCTGTCTCTCCTTCTCTCTCTGTAAGCCTGCCCTTCAAATGAATAAATTTTTTTTTTTTAATTTTACTTACAGAGAGAAAGAGATCTTCCACCCACTGTTTCATTCCATAGATGGCTGCAACAGCCAAAGTAGGTCAGGCTGAAGCCAGGAGCTTCTTCTGGGTTTCTCAAGTAAGTGGCAGGGACCCAAACACTTGGGCATTTCTCACTGCTTTTCCCAGGCCATCAGCAGGGAGCTGGATTGGAAATGGAGCAGCTGCAAGTTAAACTAGTGTGCATATGGGAAACTGGCATTACAGGCAACAGCTGTAACTATGCCACAAAACTGGCACCAATTATTAGCTTTTTTTTTTTTTTTTTTTTTTTTTGGACAGGCAGAGTGGACAGTGAGAGAGAGAGACAGAGAGAAAGGTCTTCCTTTTGCTGTTGGTTCACCCTCCAATGGCTGCCATGGCTGGCACGCTGCGACCGGCGCACCGCACTGATCCAAAGGCAGAAGCCAGGTGCTTCTCCTGGTCTCCCATGGGGTGTAGGGCCCAAGCACTTGGGCCATCCTCCACTGCACTCCCGGGCCACAGCAGAGGGCTGGCCTGGAAGAGGGGCAGCCAGGACAGAATCCGGCGCACCGACTGGGACTAGAACCCGGTGTGCCGGCGCCGCTAGGTGGAGGATTAGCCTATTGAGCCGCAGCGCCAGCCGCCAATTATTAGCTTTTTAAAAAAATAAACTTGAGGGCCCGCGCCGTGGCTCAATAGGCTAATCCTCCACCTTGCGGCGCCGGCACACCGGGTTCTAGTCCCGGTCGGGGCGCCGGATTCTGTCCTGGTTGCCCCTCTTCCAGGCCAGCTCTCTGCTATGGCCAGGGAGTGCAGTGGAGGATGGCCCAGGTGCTTGGGCCCTGCACCCCATGGGAGACCAGGAAAAGCACCTGGATCCTGGCTCCTGCCATCGGATCAGCGCGGTGCGCCGGCTGCAGTGGCAGCCATTGGAGGGTGAACCAACGGCAAAGGAAGACCTTTCTCTCTCTGTCTCTCTCTCTCACTGTCCACTCTGTCAAAAAAAAAAAAAAAAAAAAAAAAACACTTGAGGGGCTGGCGCTGTGGCGTAGCGGGTTAACGCCCTGGCATGAAGTGCTGGCATCCCATATGGATGCCGGTTCTAGTCCCAGCTGCTCCTCTTCCAATCCAGCTCTCTGCTATGGCCTGGGAAAGCAGTAGAAGATGGCCCAAGTCCTTGGGCCCCTGCACCTACATGGGAGACCTGGAAGAAGCTCCTGGCTCCTGATCAGCTCAGCTCCAGCCATTGCAGCCAATTGGGGAATGAACCAATGGATGGAAGACCGCTGTCTCTCTGCCTCTCTTCTCTCTGTGTAACTCTGACTTGCGAATAAATAAATAAATAAATCTTTAAAAAAATAAATTAAAAAATTAAAAACTTGAGGCTGGTGCTATGGCATAGCAGGTTAAGCAAATGCTTATGGCACCAGCATCCCCCATGGGCACCAGTTGGAGTCCCAGTTGCTCCACTTCCCATCCAGCTCCCTGCCATGGCCTGGGAAAGCAGTAGAAGATGGCCCAAGTCCTTGGGCGCCTGCACCCACGTGGGAGACTGGGAAGAAGCTCCTGGCTTCTGGTTTCAGATTGGCCCAGCTCTGGCTGTTGTGGCCATTTGAGTGAACCAGCGGATGGAAGATCACTCTCTTTGTCTCTCCCTCTTTCTGTCTGTAACTCTGCCTCTCAAATAAATAAATAAATCTTTAAAAAATAAACTTTTTATTTGGAACAGGCTTAGAGTTACCAAAAAACAGTGAAGATAGAAGAGAGATGGGGCTGGTGTTGTGGTGCTCTGCACCAAGTTGCTGCCTACAATGCCGGCATCCCACATCTAAGCACCAGTTCAAGTTCGGCTGTTCTGCTTCTAATCCAGCTCCCTGCTCAAGTGCCTGGAAAAGCAGCAGAAGATGGCTCAAGTGCTTGGGCCCCTGCACCCACGTGAGATCTGGATGGTGCTCCAGCCCCTGGCTCTCAGCCTGGACCAGCCCTGCTGCTGTGGCCATGTGGGGAGTGAGCCAGAGGATGGAAGAGCTCTCACTCGGTCTCTCCTTCTGTCACTCTGCTTTTTAAATAAATAAATAAATCTTAAAAAAAAAATCCACAATCGTTTCCCCTCTTACAGACATCTTCTATCTGTGAGTGGCTCTTTTTGTTACCTTTCCCAGTAGATTGGGTTTTTTAAGGGCAGACATTTGGGGTAATTCATTGTTTACCCTCAGCGCCCAGCGTGGTACTAGAAGCCTAGGAAAGCAATATTCAACGACTGCCTGTGACATGGACAATGAGCTGTGTCCTGAGCTTTTCTGATCTGCTCAGCAAGACCTCCCACTCCTTGAAGGGTGGACGATGCCTTGCGCTTCTGGCTTTCCTCAGCCCGGGCTAATCCTGGCCATGCCGGCAGCGGCAAGTGTGGGAGAGAAGGCTGGGGCAGGCCACGCCGCGGGGAAAACGCGCCCCGGGCTCCTCTCTGCTACTCACAAGAAGGCCTCCTTCCTGCGGGACTCCTTCAGTGGCTCGTCCTCCTCAGCGTCGTGGCTGGAAGCTGTGTGGGCTTCCGCTCTGGGCAAGAGGGCATGAGCAAGTCAGGGCAGGGCGCGGGGTGGGGAGTGGGCTGAGGAGGACCCGGGGGGAGCCTCACCTCCTATAGGTGTCGGAGGCGGCAGCATAGTGGAGCGGGGAGCAGCCTTTACAGTCAGCCTCGTTGACGCCGGCCCCGGCCGTCACCAGCGTCACTGCGCACTGGTAGCTGCCGTTGGCGGCTGCATAGTGCAGTGGGGTCCTGGGGGAAGGGCAGGAGGATGGGTGCAAGAATCAGAAGCCGCTCTGACCGCTCGCTACCACTAGCCTCCCTCCTGCCTGGTAGCCTACCTTCCAAACTTATCTCTCCTCCTCAAGTCAGCTCCACTGCTCAACAGCAAATTAAGACATTCAACATTCCTAAAAGCAAGATGAGGGTAAGGGTCCCGAGGAGAGGCCACAGCCCAGGAAGGGTTAAGGCAGGGTGCGACTGGACTGCCTCTTCTGCTCCCACGGAGGGAGGGGAACAGACCCTCGCCCAGAGCCCCCTCTCAGAGCCTGGGAGACGGGAAGGAGAACGCACCCTCCAGAAGCAGCAGCATGAAGACAGGTACGGCCAAGGTTGTCAGGTGTGTTGATGTCAAACCCAGCCGAGAGCACGTGCTCGTTGCTGAGTGAAGATACAATGCTGTACAGCTGACCTGGAGGGCGGGCACCCACTGTCACATCTGAGGGCACCGAGCTGAGGGAGAGGCCCCTGCTCTGTGTACACCTGCCCAGCCCCCAGCCAATCGGCACATACCTGAGGAAAGAAGCTTGCGGCAACAGTCAGAGAACCCAAAGAGGACAGCTAAGTGCAGGGGGAACATGTCATGGATGCCGCGCCTGGGAGAGGTGGAGGGACTCGGTCAGCACTTTCTGTACGCCACCCCTCCTCCACCCCCACGCGCCACTGCCCCAGGCAGGGTAAGGACGCCCTCCATGCCTCCCTTGGGCAAGCGTGTTTGAGGTGGGTGGTATGTACAGATGCACAGCAGCCCAGAGACGGGGCCAGGGGCCGGGACGCACCGGGCGGTATCCGCGCCATTGGTCATGAGGGTGCTGATGAGCAGCTCGTGTCCGTAGCGAGCAGCCACGTGCAGGGGCGTGTTCCCAAACTTGTCGGCACAATCAATCTCGCTGCCTGAGAGGGGGAGGCACACACAGAAGCCCCGGCAGAGCTCAGGCTCGGGCCACTCCCGCGAGCAGTTCCCTCCTAGGAACTGATCTGGCTAAGCCTTCAGCGTGTGAGCCATAGGGGGCCAGGCAGGGGCGGGGCAGGGCCGTTCTCCAGGTGCCTGTCTCCCCAGGTGCCTGTCTCCGAAGACAGGCAGGGCTTTCTAGGGCTGAATTCCTTGGGGGAGGAGATGAGAGCACAGTCTCCCAGGCCCATACCATTCTGGATGAGGATCTGGGAGCGCGTGAAGCGGCCATGGATTGCAGCCATGTGCAGAGGACTCTTCCCTTCTTTGCTCTGTGGAAACAGCGGGGTTTGTCTTTTTTTTTTTTTCTTTTTTTTTTTTTTGTAGTGCAAAGCACAAAGAATGTTTCAAAGGACACATCTCTGAGGATGGAGGGGTTCTATGGACATCTCAGCCCATGCTTTGCTGAGCACCCCCGGAGGCGAGGGACAATTCCCCAGGAGAGCTATCCAGACATGGCCAGGATCCCCAGAGCCAGGTTCCTCTCCCAACCAGTCCCTGCGGGCACCTGGTAGTTGACATCAGCCCCATTATTGACCAGCAGCTCCAAACAAAGTGCTCCATTGGTGGAGACGGCAGCCACGTGCAGCGGCGTGAAGCCCTTGTCATTCGGCTGGTTGACATTGGCGCCTGCATTCACCAGCTCAATGGCCACAGCATCCTGGCCCAGGTAGCAGGCGATGTGCAAAGCTGTGTTTCCAAAAGCGTTGGGCTCATCGATCTGGATTTCCAGGAGTGAGGGGAAGGGAAGCAATGGTTTAAACAAAGTGGAAACCAGCACATAAAGCCTACAGAATCCCAGGAATCCAACAACTGCCCCAGACCCCCCAAGTTTCTGACCCAAGGGATGGAGGGTGCTGTTATTCGGGGCAAGCGGCATTCAGACCCTCACTATCTCCTCCCAGAACCATACCCATAAAACCAGCACCTTCCTAGTCCCTTCAGAAACTACCAGGTCCAGCTCCCTGCCCATAGCCCCCAGCCCACGCCGGGCTCAGAGCCCTGACCTCAGCCCCCATCCGGAGCAGGTACTTCACCACTTCGACCTGGCCACTGGCAGCGGCCGTGTGGAGCAGCCCGTAGCCCTTGCGGTCCTTACAGCCCAGGTCTGCTCCCCGCGCCACCAGCAGTTTCAGGACCTCCAAGTGCCCTGGGAAAAGAGCACTCTCAGGGAGGTGGAGGGTGAACTCCGGAGGCCCTGAGCTCCGCAGTCTGCAACCTTATATTCCCGCCCTGGGAGCCTCCAGCGGCAAATTCCGGGTCCTCCTGCCTGTGCACTCACCTAGAAAAGCGGCCCAGTGCAGGGGCTGCCGTTCCTTTTTGTCACAGACGTTCAGGCTGGCTCCCTTGTTGAGGAGCAGGTTCACCGTCTGTATCAGGACATAGACAACCCGTTCAGAGCCCAGTTGATGCCTACCAAAGGGCACAGGCCTCATCTCCTGAGGTCTCTGTTCCCGAGCACAACAACCTGGAGTTCTACAGGGACAGTAGGGGCAGGCACTGAGGAGATCCCTAGTAGATGCAGAAGTTGTAGGGACATGCCCACAAGTGGCTTAGGGTGATCTGCTGGCTCTGAAACTCCTAGGGAGTCTTTGCTTTTATTTATTTATTTATTTAAGACAGAAAGAGGGAGAGTGCGCACATCCACTGGTTCACTCCCTAAAGCCCACGACAGCCGAAGCCAGGAGCCAGGAACTCAACGCAGATCTCCCATGTGTGTGGCAGGAACCCTGTTACTTGAGCCATCACTTCTGCCTGCCAAGATGCACATTAGCAGGAAGCTGGAGTCAGGAGGTGAGTATCAAACCCAGGCACTTGGGATACTGGATGTGGGTGCCTTACTCAGCTTCTTTACCACTAGGCCAAACGCCTGTGCCTCTCACCAGTCATTGAAAACGCATGACCAACAAATGGGGACTCTCTCTTCAGAAAAAGGTGTGTGTACCAACATTTTCCACGTGACTTCAGAGGGTTTACCAACCTCCTGAAGTCCAAGTCAAGCTCCCTAATCTGACTTTCATCCTGTACGGGAGCCCAGGTCCTTACAGAACATCTATCTGTGCTGCTGCTTCCCCAGCCCCAGTGGCCCAGAAGCAGGGCCAGGTGAGCACGCAGGGCAGGCACTGGGCTGGCCTAGCCTGCAGCACTCCTCACCTCAAGATGTCCACTATGCACTGCATGGTGCAGCGCACTGCGCCCACTCCTGTCAGCCACGTTGAGGCTGCTCAACAAGGGTGCCAGAGCCTCGGCACACTTGGTGGCCCGGTTGGCGGCAGCCACATGCAGTGGTGTCTGCCACAGCTTGTCTCGGGCGTTCACATCTGCTGAATGTGCCAGCAGCAGCCCCAGCACCTTCTGTGGAGGGACAGAGGACAAGGAAGAAGATAGAGGGGCATCAGGAGGATAAAACAAGAGGGAGTGGAAGGAGGAAACGGGTCAGCAGGGCACATGTGGCCCCACCCCCACTAGCAGTCCACGCTCACTTTCCAGGACACCTAGTTCCAACCTGCTGGACCTTCCGAGAGCTCCAGTTCTTCCTCACCTTGCTCCCCCTTCCCCAAGCCACACGCACCACTCCCTGAACCACATCCTGGAAATCTTCACTTACATAGGAGGGGGCTTCCAAAAGCTCACAGAAAACGTGCGTTATGAAAAAACGACGCCTGGATTTTAAAACGTTCTGCCTCAGAATCAGCTGCTTCTTTTAGCTATCCCATGAACTTTTGGAAGCGCCGCCTTCCGCCCACTCCCAAGCAAAAACACACAGGAAGGGCTGCACATCCCAAACCCCACCGCTCCTAGGAAAAATAAATGCTCCTGCTACAGAAATGAATACCTCCTTAGCCCTTCCACAGACCAAAGGTGTTTGTTTCCCTTACCTCAGAGAGCAAACATACCCTGGGTCCTCTCCATAACCTAAGCGCAGACGCCCCTCCTAACCACCCACCTCACTCCCACTGCTGTCTCAGCCCCTCCCCCTGGCGGCCGACGGGGGAAGTGATGGGCCAATCAAGGAGGGAGGTCTCCTTTTCCCTTCTTTCAGGGTTGCTGGGAACAAGGTACAGGACCCAACAGAGAGGGTTATGCTTGGCCCCTGAGCTGTCAACTTCCATGCTGACTGAGGAGCTGGGATGCAGCGGACCACTGCCCCTGTCCCCCATGACAAGCAGAGAAACCTCCATGCCCAGAGGGGGCTCAGACTCAAGGTGGCCCCCCAGGGAAGGATGAGTCACTCAGGCCTGGCAGCGGGCCCCCACAGTCTGCCAGCCCAGTGTTAGGCTCTCTCTGATGCAACACCAGAGCCCCTTACCAGCCAGTACCAGGGGCAGGAGAGAGGAGCCAAGGGCTGCTTTCCTCCCGACCTGGAGGAGGGCAGGGGACAGAGGCGCCTCCACCCTCACCTCTAGCCTTATCACCTCGACCCCGTACCTCGTTTCGGGAGGCAGCAGCACGATGAAGAGGGGTCAGCCACAGTGTATCCTTAGCATTGACGTTAGCACCTGTAGGGATGTAATTTCCTGTTTTGATGGGAGGTGGAGAGGGGGTAGGGAGGCAATGGGAAGGGGGCCTGGATCCAAGCACTAGAGATCAATGCTGCTTGCATATGAAACAGGAGGCTCCTCCCCTCGGCTCCCCTCCTAGGTGCCACGCCTTCCAGCTCCCCACTTTCACCTGACATCAGTAGCAACTGGAGGATGGGGACATCGCCTACGTAGGCAGCAGCATGCAGTGGGGTTCGCCTCTCTTGGTCCTGGCAAGAGAGAAAAGAGGAGCAGCTGTAGGGAGGAGGGGGGGCTATCCAGGACCCCAGCCCAAGCCTCAGAGCCCCAGGCTCTTCCCCACAATCTCCTCCCATAGGTTCTGCAGCGTCCTAAATGCCCGTAAGGAGAGTCAAAGGCAAGAGCACCTAGGGAGGGTGGAGTCAGGGCCGAGGGGCCCGAGAAGCGGCCATCTCCTTCTTCCAGGAGGGGTAGGGGCTCTGCAGACCCCACCGCTTCAGAAGAGAACACCCTTTCTGGGCATCCCCGGCCCCACGGGGCTGTGCTCCAAGCCTGACTTGCTCTCCATGCCCAAACGCAGAGCAGGTTCCCATCCCAAGGTGGAAATAGCTGCGGCCTCATCTAAGCAGAGACGCGGAACCGCCCCGCTGATGGGGAGGGGTCCGGAACACCGGAGCCCGGATTCTGGGCTCGCCATCCTCCCTGCTCCCAACTCACCAGCACATTGATGTTCTCCTTCTGCGAGAGGAGGGAACGCACTTCCTCCACATCTCGGCTAAAGATGGCCTGGACCAGGGGCGGCTGCAGAGAGAGCTGGCATTCAGGGAGCGGGCCGGAGCCGGAGCGGAACCAAGCGGGTAGGCGAGCACCCAGCGTTGAGGGGGGCCGTCGCCGGAGGGGCTCCGCTCCGGGGGGTCCTGGCTGCAGCGGGCTCCTGCGGTGCCTCCGCTGGTCCCCAGGCCCCCAAGGGCACCCGCTCGGTTGAGGGGAGCGCGGCGTGGGGCGGGGCGGGAGCCGCGGGAGCCCCGGGCTCGGGCCCAGCCTAGGCCGCACATCCCCGGGCTCGCGTGGCGGCGGCGCCGGGCTCTGGAAGGAGGGAGTGGAGGAAAGGAAGAAGGGCTGACCTGGTCCGTGATGCTGAGGATCCCCATGGCCCGGCCCGGGCTCCGTCCGCATCGAGCTCCCGGCGGCGGCGGCGGCGGCTCCACCGGGGACACGGGGCGGCCCAGGCGGCGGCTGCGGCGGCGGCTGCGGGGAGAGCGCAGCCCCGCCTACCGGGGGGCGGGCGAGCGGGAGCCCGCAGCGCTCCCTGGCGGCGGTCCTGGGCCCGGCCGCAGGCGCTCGCGGTTCGGGCTGCCCCAGGCCGCAGTGCCCTCCGCCCCGGCCTGGCCGGCCCCAGCGACCCCGGCACCCCAACCCCCGCGCGCTGGCTCCTTGGCTCCTTCCGCGGCCGCGCGGTGCTCTTCGCTCCAGTCCGGCGACCCCAGCGGAAACCCGGACCCTGGTCCTGAGGTATCGCCCAACCTGAGGACCAAATGGCTGGCCGGCTCTCGCCCAGCCCACTGTCTCCGCGAGCTAACGCCTCTCCCCTCAGCCCCCCAAATCCCGCACAGAGGAGGGGAGACCTGGGAGTGGCGAGCTGGGGGTCATCTATGGCAATAGCCCCAGAAGGAAGGAAGGCGTGCTTCTCCACGGGTGGGGGAGACTTGAGCTGGATAGAAAGGAAATAGCAGAAGTGTTCCAACTGCAGAGGAATCGCCGGGAGGGGGCCAGGACGCTTGGCAGCTGGCAAAAGGCTGCAGGATCAGCCCAAGGGGCACTTTCTTTCTTTAAGATTTATTTATTTGGGGGCCGGTGCTATGGCGCAGTGGGCAAAGCCGCCGTCTGCAGTGCCTTTATCCCACATGGGTGCAGGTTTGAGTCCCAGCCGCTCCACTTCCCATCCAGCTCCCTGCTAAAGCATCTGGGAAAGAAGCGGTGGATGGCCCAAGTCCTTGGGCCCCTGCACCCAGGTGGGAGACTCGGAAGCAGCTCCTGGCTCCTGGCTTTGACCTGGTCCAGCCCCAGCCCCAGCCATTGCCGCCATTGGGATGTGAACCAGCCAATGGGAGATCTCTCTCTCCCTCTCCCTCTCTCTCTGTAACTGTGTCTTTCAAATAAATAAATCAATCTTAAAAAAAAAAAAAAAAAAAAAAGATGTATTCACTTGAAAGGCAGAATGACAGAGATCTTCCATCTGCCTGTTCACTTCCCAAATGGCCACTATTGCTGAATCCAGGAGCCTGGACCTCCCTCGGGGTCTCCCATATGGATTGCAGGGATCCAAGCACTTGAACCATCTTCTGCTGCCTTCCCAGGAGCATTAGTAGGAAGCTGGATTGGAAGCAGAGCAGCCAGGACTCCAACCACCAGCACTCTGATATGAGAAACCAGTATAGCAAGCTGAGGCTTAACCTGCTTTGCCACTATGCTGGTGGAATGGGCATTTTTCAATGCCCTAATTATTCTGGTGGTTAAGGTGGTGGGGCTCCGTACAACGAAAGGAGGAGGTGCAATTCCTTCCCCACTGGAAAGGCAGACAGCAGCCAGTATGGAAAGATCTGAGTGGAGGTCATCCCAGCCCAGAGGGGAAAAAAGCAGGAAGGAGAAAAGAGAGATTCAAAAAAAGGTGCAATGGGCCGGCGCCGCGGCTCACTAGACTAATCCTCCGCCTGTGGCGCCGGCACACTGGGTTCTAGTCCCGGTCGGGGCGCCGGATTCTGTCCCGGTTGACCCTCTTCCAGGCCAGCTCTCTGCTGTGCCCAGGGAGTGCAGTGGAGGATGGCCCAGGTGCTTGGGCCCTGCACCCCATGGGAGACCAGGAGAAGCACCTGGCTCCTGCCTTCGGATCAGCGTGCTGCGCCGACCGCAGTGTGCTGACCGCGCGGCCAGCCATTAGAGGGTGAACCAACGGCAAAGGAAGACCTTTCTCTCTCTTTCTCTCTGTCTCTCTCTCTCACTATCCACTCTGCCTGTCAAAAAAAAAAAAAAAAAAAAAAAAAGGTGCAATGTATAGGGTGTGGTCCAGGGTCCTGTTCAGAGCTCAGCAACCGAGTACAGTGAAAGGCCCTGTCAAGGAGCACAAAAAGCCCTCCCTGGCCTTCAGTGTCTTGCTTCTTGCTTCTTGCTGGAAAGATACTCAAGACAGCGCTGAAAGAAAATGAGAGCCAGGAAATGTGGAGGAAGAGGGAAATTTATCATTTTAGAGGTCCTAGATGTGGAGGGTGGCCCCAGGGCACTTGGTGGGGTCCTTTAAGGTAAAGGGGATAAAGGTTCCCCAGCTCCACCCAGAGATGCAAATCACTTGCCTAGGAAATACTCTTGGACCTTAGACAGCTCTCCCAAGGAAACTCGGCAGTTACAAGTACGCCACTTCTTCTTCTTCTTCTTCTTTTTTATTTTATTTTATTTTTTTTATTTGACAGATAGACAGTGAGAGAGACACAGAGAGAAAGGTCTTCCTTTCGTTGGTTCACTCCCCAGATGGCTGCACGGCCAGAGCTACGCCGATCCTAAGCCAGGAGCCAGGTGCTTTTTTCCTGGTCTCCCACACGGGTGCAGGTGCCCAAGCACTGCACTCCCGGGCCACACAGAGAGCTGGACTGGAAGAGGGGCAACTGGGACAGAATCCGGCGCCCCGACCGGGACTAGACCCCGGTGTGCCAGCGCTGCAAGGCGGAGGATTAGCCTAGTGAGCCGCGGCGCCAACCCTACAAGTACAGCTGGCTGGTCTGCCTGCTGCTCCCTTACAAGCACATGGTAGCATGTACCCTACCTAGAAAGAGACTGTGGCTACAGATATACGCTGAGATTACACCCCAGGCCCTAGCACTAAAGGTGCTCCTCTGATGCACAGTACAACCTCTTGGGATGTGCTTAACAATTATGATTGCTCATTGTCGTGTTTAGTCAGTATTTTCTTTCTCTCTCTTTCCTCCTCCCTCCCTCCCCTCCTCCCTCCCTTCCTTCCTTCCTTCCTTCCTTCATTCCTTCCTTCCTTCCTTCCTTTCTTCCTTCCTTTCTCTTTCTCTTTCTTTTTGAAAGACTGAGTTACAGAGAGAGGTAGAGACACAGAGAGAGAGGTCTTCCATCCGCTGGTTCACTCCTAAGGACTTGGGCCATCTTCCACTGCTTTCTCAGGTCAGAGCAGAGAGCTGGATCTGAAGAGGAGCAGCCGGGACTAGAACTGGCACTCAGGCCAGAGTTTGTTTGTTTGTTTTTTAATTTTATTTATTTATTTATTTGACAGGTAGAGTTACAGACAATGAGAGGGAGAGACAGAGAGAAAGGTCTTCCTTCCGTTGGTTCACTCCCCAGATGGCCACAACAGCTGGAGCTGTGCCGATCCGAAGGCAGGATCCAGGTGCTTCTTCCCGGTCTCCTACGTGGGTGCAAGGGCCCAAGAACTTGGGCCATCTTCCACTGCCTTCCCGGGCCACAGCAGAGAGCTGGATTGGAAGATGAGCAGTGCGGACTAGAACCTGCACCCATATGGGATGCCTGCGCTGCAGGTGGAGGATTACCCTACTGTGCCACAGCGCCCACCCCTTAGGTCAGAGCTTTAACCCACTGTGCCACAGCGCTGGCCCCAGTCAGTATTTTCTATTGAAGGAGACTATCTCTAGGTGAGAGAGACAGAGCTGTCTTGGGTCTCCCAGGTTGGATGTAGAGGCCCAGGGTCCTGAGCTTCATCAGAAATGGAAGAGCCAGGACCATTTGGGATGCCAACACTGCAAGTAGAGGCTTAACCCTCTAAGCCCAGCACAGAGCCCTACACAGAGCCTCTTAAACATTGTGCAAGGGGCAGGGCTTTAGCCTAGTGGTTAAAATGCCCATGTCCCATGTTGGGTTGGCGTGCTTAGTTTTGCTCTGGCTCCAGGTTCCCACCAGCGCACCTCTCCTAGGCAGCAGTGCTTCCCAGCTTCTGGTCCTTACCGCAGCTGTCATGGTATCTGGGTACTCAGCTAGTGGATGGATATCTCTCAAATAAATAAATGGATTTGAAACAGAGTGAAGGAGAGATCTCCCATCCACTGGTTCACTTCCCAAGTGACTGCAACGGCCAGGGCTGGGGCTGGGGCTGGGCCAGGTCACAGCCATGAGCTGGGAACACCTACTGGGTCTCCCACATGGGTGCAGGGGTGCAAGTACTGCTTTCCTAGGTGCTTTAGTAGGGAGCTGGATTGGAACTGGAGCATCCAGGACTCTAACCAGCACCCATATGGGATGCTGGTGCTGCAGGTGGCTGCTTAACCCACTCTGCCATGGTGCTGGCCCCATAAATAAATCTTTTTAAAAATTTGTGGATGCATGCTATGCAAAAACTATGCATAAATTTCAATTTTTTTGCACCAAAATAAACATTTTAGTTCCATTTTCCATGAAGTACCCATATTCTTTTTTTTTTTAAGGTTTGTTTATTTATTTGAAAGTGAGAGTTACACACAGAGAGAAGGAGAGGCAGAGAGAGATCTTCCATCCGCTGGTTCACTCCCCAGATGGCCACAACAGCTGGAACTGCGCCGATCTGAAGCCAGGAGCCAGGAGCTTCTTCCGGGTCTCCCATGCAGGTGCAGGCACCCAAGGACTTGGGCCATCTTCTACTGCTTTCCCAGGCTGTAGCAGAGAGCTGGATCAGAAGTGGAGCAGCTGGGACTCGAACTATATGGGATGCCGGCACTGCAGGTGGTGGCTTTACCCGCTACACCACAGCGCTGGCCCCACCCATATTCTTAAATTATACTGCCAGAGTCTGGTTTAAGTTGTACACTTTTGTTTCTCATTCTGCCTCATGTTTTTTTAGACATTCAGGTGTTCAACATTTAAGCATGGATCTTAACTCGTTATTTGCCAGACTCAGAGTCTTTCTTCCCTAATACAGGACTGTACAGCTTTTTTTTTTTTTTTTTTTTTGTAATGAAAAGGATTTTGAGCTTTCTGAAGATAAAAGAACAGAGGTATTTCGGGTCTTTTTCGCTGCAGCACACGAGCGCACAGGAACGGGCACTTTACAGGTGATGACGATGAAGAGGCATGAGAAGCAGAAACTGCACGCAGCTGAGGGTGGCTGTGGGTGCCGGAACATGTGGACTCGGCTGTTGGGTCTTCCAGGAAGGGCTGAGCCAGGATATGACCCAAAAGAGAGGAGGAGGGGAACGCAAGGTCTCCATTGCCCAGAATAGCTCCTGGTAACCTGAGGAATGGGAGTCAGGGGTTGAGCTGGGGTCACGTGCCTGGCAGGGGTGGAGGT